GGCTACACCTCTACGGGAGAGTGAGTAACACCACCAAGCATTCCAGCTGGAGCTGCTGGAAACCTGCCCTGTCCACCCGCTGAGCTCACCTGCAGGAGATAAGGGGGGACAATCCCATGTGAGCTCACCTGGAGGAGATAACGGGGGATGCCGTGGGGTGTCCTGTGCTCAGAACCTGCTGGCTTTTGGGAGCTTCACTGCCACAATCTGTGAGTGTTCAGGGTCTCACCTGGGGCTGTTGGAAGGAGCCTGTGGCACAGTCTGTGCCCGCTGCTCCTCTGCCTGGCACGAGGGCTTTGGGCTTGTTTTGGCCCTGGTCCCTGTGCCCTCCTGCTGCCGTGGCTCTGGGGGGCTGCACCGTGTTGGTGAACTCTGGGCTAGTTCAGAGCCCTAACGTGTAGGGGTCACACACGTGCTGTGTGGAGGTGTCTCAGGCTGAAATCCCGTGTCTGGAAGGAGGTGGAGATGTTGGAGCAGAGGACAGTGCCTGGTGTGGTGGGGCTGAGCTGCCAGAGGTCAGCAGGGTCTCTGTGGGGCAGAAGGGACAGAGTTGGAGGCAGGTGGAGGGTGGCTGGGTTTGAGGGGCGTAGCTGGAGGGATGGGGCAGGGTGAGGCTCTACCTGTGGGCAGCCCCAGGCTGGGAGCAGGGGGATGCAGGATGTTTCCTAGTGCTGGAGCACTTGTGCTACATCCTTTTGTTGTTTCTCTGTGGCAGCTGCACTGATGGTCTGGTCGCATAATCACATTACTGGAAAGCATCCTTATGTTCAGCTGGTTTTTATCCTCAGGATATAACAGAATCATCTCCTTCTGAAGCCACAGAGGGAAGCCTGGTTGGCAGTCAGCTGCTGGTTGATTAAGGACAACCCAGCTGCTGGTGCCTGACCTGACCTTGTGCTGAGCCCAGAGAAGGGACGTGTTCTGTGTCTGCAGAGACTCTGCTGCTCCCATGAACTCTCCAGCTGGGAGCTCTTGCTGGACTGGAGGAGGTTCCATGGCCCATTGACATTTTCTGTGTGAAACAGCCTTTTGTTGCTTGTCAGGTACACGTTTGTGAACTTAGTGTCTGTGGATGTGCTTTCATGCTGCAAACCATAGCAACGTTAGCGTGGCAGTGCAGGTAGGTAACCCTAGTGTATGTATTTCTGCCTAGTTAGGGCCAGGTGAGGAGATCGTCCCTGAGAACAGCAGCCACACCTCACTGCAAGGAAAGTGTCAGCACGTGGGTGAGTCATGCAGTGATCTCTGTGTGCATGAGGAAAGTTCTGCTGCCGTGGAGCTGTGGAACAGAGTGTGCACAGTGACCTGAGTGTAAAGGAGAAATAAAACCACGGAGCATGACACAGATCCCTGCTGATGGTGACTGCACAGGTAGTGACTGCACAGGTGGTCACTGCAGGGGAGCAGCCCTGGGTGGAGAACTCGTGCACTGGGCTCTGTGCTGGGGGAGCCATGTGGTCTCAGTGCTGCCCCTGGAGTTCCCAGCTCTCCTGTGCCTGTTGCAGGTGCCCCTCCTGTGGGGAGATTGGGCTGGAGCCAGGATTTTTCCCGGTGGATGTGGCCTGTGCGTGAAAGAGTTAAGCTGAAGTTGGTGTTTATGTAACCAAAGAGGGAACTCCCAGAGATGAGTCCTCTGATATCTCATGTGTTGATGCATCAGAAGGGTTTAAAGAAAGCCCAGCTTGTTGCTTGCTTGCACTGTAATTACGTTGCTGGAATCCTGTGCTTCAGAGTTTCCTCAGCTGCCTGGAGGGGGCCAGGAAGGAATTTGCTTTCCCTGATGGATGAGTCGGCCTATGGAAGCTGTTTTTTGTCCCTGACAAGTTGGAGGTTGGCTACAGCTAGATGTGGGGTGTCAGGGATGTGTCCTGGGGTCCCTGTTAGCACTACAGCCCCACCAGTGTTGCTGGACCTTGTTCACACATACCTGGGGTTAAACTGATGGGCAAGTTGGACTGAGGAAGGAGGTTTTCTGGGGGTTTGGTTCAGCAGGGGCTGCTGGAGGGCTTGGTGTCTCCCAGCTCCCATGCACGGCTCGCCCAGGGAGTTTGTGCTGTCCCAGGTGCTTCCAACAGCCCCAGCCCTCATCCTGTACCGGTGCCGTGGGATCCTTCCTTCTGCTTTGGTCAGAGAAGGTGTGTCTGGCTTTGTGTGAACTTTGCACTTAGGGAAGAGGCTTGAGTGAATTTCCAAGAAATCTCTGAGTCAGGGCTCCTCTGTTCTGGAGAAGGCTTCCCTTCCCGGAAGGGCTCGCGCAGCGGTTCATGGGTTGCACTGGTGGTTTTGAGTCATCTGATGGGCTTTTTATTTTGGTGTGTGTTATTACTTCTCTTACGGAACAGTTAAACTTCCAAAGCCTTTATTAAAGTTGGTGTTCCTGTATCTTCAGTCTGCCCTGGTGCTTGGCAGAGGGAGGGGAGCCCACCCCAGCCACCCCCATACCTAGCCTCCTTCCCACATGCCTGCTTGGCTTGGGATCTGCCCGGCAAACATTCCCTATCATCCCCCAGCCAGTGACTGCTCCGCAGGCCTGGCTGATTCCAACTCTGCCTGTTCTCAGGGAGGCTTTTCCAATGGGAATGGAGTCTCTGTCCCTGGGAGTGCTGATGACTTGGGTCTGAGCTGTCCCGTTTTGCCCAGGAAGGGCATGTGGCAACACTCTGGGATTGCTGCTGCTCCCAGCCCTGCCCACCTGCTCCCTGGGCTGGGGGGCTGGACCACGCTCGAGGTTTTGCTCTCCTCATGTTAACATTTATGTAGGTTTTCAGGTCATGTCCAACATCACTTCTCATGAGCTGGAATTACCCATGAGCCAGGCTTTAATGTGAACTTTGATTAATAATCACAGGTATATACTGCCCAGGGTGCCATTTAGGTGGTCAAAGGTGCAGCCTGGTAGTGCTCATTTGAATCCAATTTTTTTAGCTTCATTTTTGCAAAGCTGAGGCCTGTGCTGGGGGGGGGAGTGAGCAGGGTGGGCAGGACAGAAACCCCTGTACCAGGTCTCCAGCTTCTCCCCACTGCCTGCTGTGCAGGGATCAGCTCGCAGTGAGGTCAGACACCTCCGGGGGTGCCAGTCACCACCCCAGAAAGTGTCAACACCAGCTGACTCGTTTTCTCCCCATGTTGCAAGATAAAGCAGCAGAAAGTGCTGTGGAGGTTCTGTCAGCTGCTCCAGCCTCTTCTAGTTTCTGTGCTGCTGAGTAATCCTGTGAATGCCCCTGAGGTACTTTTTTGTTCCTGCTCCAGGAACATGAGCTGTGGCTGCTGGACTGCAGGACCTGCTCGTTCTTTAATCGGAGATGAAAGGTTCGTTTCCTCCTCTCCTGGTTTCCTTTGTTGTTGTGCTGGGCACTGGAACATTGTGCGGTAATTTGGGAATTAGACCATTTCCTTAAGCTACGTAATTAAAAGACGTTACATCTAGGTCTCCAAATTATTTGATTGCTAATTCTATTAAAGCCATAGCTAGCACAGGAAGAAGCTTCAGATGGTTCTGCAGCAAGATATTTGGTATATTGCATATGTCACATTAAAATTGTTAAATAATGAGTTTTAGTGCTAGACTTGTAACTTCATTGTCTGCATCAGAGAGACAATTTTAGTTACAGATGGTGAGACAAAGCAGGGGTGGCTTGATTCACTTTGTATAGTCTGCTTTTGGGGGAAGAGGGTGGTAAACCCACCACATCAGTATCTACGGGTCCTGTCCCTAGGATGGAGTGTTTGAAGGGGCTCTGTTTGTGTGCTCTGAGCAAGGTTGACCTGGGAAGGCTGGGCTGCAGGATGTGGGGCAGCAGCTCCTCTGCTGTTTGGATGTGTTGGGCAGAGAGTGCCATGAGTGACACAGGGTTGTCTTCAACAGTTGAGTCCTCTGCCTGGCCAGGGTGTCCTGCCAGGGGCAGTGGTTGAACAGGAATTAACTCACAGCAGGGATTTGATAAGAATAAAACTCAATGTATTCTTCTTTGCCAGAGTGGTTCTGTTCAAGTCCAAACATGGAGCATTAACTCTTGCTGTGATTAGAAAGTGCTTCCAGTGGTGACGATTCGTTGTGGCACTGTTGCACACTCGGGTGTATTTAAGCTGCTGATAAAACCAGGCAAGCTAATGCTTTAAAGTAGAGTAGGTTAAAGTAGAGAAGTGGAGGAGCTGTTTGTGTCTGCTCAGAAGGTCTGTCTTGTCTTTGTCTTGCTATGCAGGGCCAGGCGTCTGTGACTCCGTAGGGACTGATCTGCAAGAGCTCTTTTAATCTCTCATGTGATACCAGACGTTTTCAGGCCTTTTCTAAGCCCAAATAAGCCCGGATGTGTCAGGCTGCAGCTTTGGTGCAGGCCACGTTATCGTAATCAAGAATAATCCAGCACCACAGCATCAAGTGTATCTCGTTTCACATTACAGAGTCCTCGACCTTTCGACCATCCAGCCTTCTCCAAGGTGATGACTCCTGTCTCCTGAGACGTTGGAAAACCTAGTTTGGAAGAAGAGTAAAGATACAGTTGATGCTGAACTACGTGAGTCCTCAGATTATTTTGTTTACGATAACGCCGTTTGCACCAGCCGTTCCCCTCCAGCTCGGATTGCACCACGGGCATTAGCTCAGAGTTTCTGTGCAGTGGGGTTTCTCCACTGGAAATCTTACTCATTTGTTTCCAGCAGGGATGATGATGTTGCAAGGAGTGGAGACTTTTAGAAGGCACAATCCAATATGAGGTCAGGGATGCGGAATGAACAGAACAAGGAGCATGTGGGGCTCAGGACTTTGTTGTGTTGAAGGAGCTGGGCCTGGTGACATGTCTGGGTTACCAGATGGGCTGGTGCAGTGCCGGAATGCAGAGCCTGCTGCAGAGCTCCTCACCTTATCTCTCTTGCTATCTCTGATCTTGGTGACAGGTACTGCTAGGTGAATTAATGCAGTGAGATCACTCTTGTGTCCACAGAAAGGGTGGGACTGCCAGAGGGTAAACTTCATTCAGAGCGTGGTGATTTATCAGTCTCTTGCATGGTGAAACACCGGGACTTTCTTAAAACAAATAAGTACAGCCCAAAAACATGTTCCCAGTCTGCTGTCGTAACCTCCTGGGGAAGGCGACGGGGCTGGGCTTGTGAGAGTAAGGAAACAGATCTGTGCTTAGTTCCTCCTCTCTCTCACCCCTCTAAAAAAAAGTAACAATTTTGGAAATGTTAAGAGCATGAACATTTATGTCTGTATAGTGGTGGAAGTCCTTGGAAGGAGGAGTACTGGGAGCAGAGCAGCAGTTTGGAGCTGGTTTGTGCTTGGGATGTGCACAGCGCAAGGGCAGCGGGCACGAAGGGTCTTTCCCTTCTGAACTGAAACAAGACTTGTCTTTGGGGAAGAACTGTTTTAGTCACAGAGGCTTGAGCTTATTTGGCCCTTTAGGTGTTGGTTCTGCAAGCGACCTCAAATTCTCTTTCATTTTAATGGTCAGTTTTGCGCATTCTTGGCTGTTTGAGGAACAGACTTGAGCCTGTGGTGTTCCCCGGGTAGCTGCTGCCATGCTGGGTGGGAAGTGCTCAGTGAAGGAGCCCACAGAAATCCATAGGCTGAATCAGAAGCAGGCACCATACAGAAGGATCACTTTGGCATTTTCTTTCAGAATCTTTGGAATATGTTAATTTGCAAACTCGTTTTTGCTGTAAAACAAGCTTTAATTGTTTTGACTTGTTCCCACCGTGTCTCTCAAACAACTGTTGCAGGAAACCTTGCTTTGAATAACGAGGCTGATTTATGCCTTCAAAAATGCATTAAGCCTCCAACCCACAAGTGGTCTATCAGTAATGAGCCAGAGCTTTTTTTGTAGAAACACCAGTAGGCAGAGGCAGGAGTGCGTCAGTAGGAGAAAGCCTTCCAGTACAAAATAAGGGTAATATAAGAAATTAACTCAGTTGCTCATCAGATGTGATTTTTCTTTCTCTTTCAAGAGCCAAGGATGAAGCGACGAGCATCAGACAGAGGAGCTGGGGAAACATCCACTAAGGCAAAAGCTCTTTGTACAGGGATTTCTGGAAACAATGCCAAGAGAGCGGGCCCTTTTATACTAGGTAAGCAGGGAGGCTGCTGCTTCAGTTTTCAAGGTAGTTACTGATTGCAAAACTGAAAATATAAGGCGCTATAAAATGTGGCAAAGCAGGTGTGTAATTTAGTGTCTTACCTCAGAGTGCAGGAGCCTTTGGAGCTTCTGCAGCCAGGCCAGTTAAGGAGATGTGTGATACTAGCACAGCAAGGCAGGCACAGCTTTTGAAGGAGCTCTGTGCCCTTGCTTTTACCCTTTTTCTTAACAACATCCTTAAACTTTGATAAAGAGCAAATTCCTTCAGGGGAGATGTTCAACCCTGCTTGTCTGAAGTAACTGAAATCAGCAACTCAGTGCAGCAGTAGTCATTATAAGTGATGTGTGCCAAGGCAAGACTATACTCTGCTACCTTTTGAGAGCTGCTAGAGTAGCTTTTAGTTCAGAACTAGTTAAATCAGCTGTCAAAACCACGCTGGACTTCACAGTTGAAACCAATGGATAACCAGCTGGAAGCTGATGTATTTAAATGGAAGAGAGGAGACTGTAGTTCACCTTGGGACCTGGGCTGGTCTGCCTACCTGAGCAGTGCCTGTGGTGGCAGCTGGGTGCAGAGGTGTGGGAGCAGCAGTTGCCATGGGTGTTGCTGGTGGATGAAGCTGTGTGGTTCAGGCATGCAGAAATTTGAATTTCTGAAAGCAGCTGTGCCATGTGTGAGCTTTTGTTAAATGTTTCTCCAGTGAACAAACAAAGCATTGTCCAAAAAAGGTTTCAGTTACCATTCAGGTTCAATAGCACTATTTTTTTCCTTTAGGTTGTAATTTGTGGAAGCACATTTAGTCTTCTGGAAAAAAAAAAAAGGAACTTAGTTTAAACTAACGTAAACTGCGTGACACTTGCACACTGATGTAACCCTGCATTAGTCATTGCTGCTTGAAGGAAAACAAGTTTGTTTTTGCTTTGTGCTGTTAGGTCCACGTTTAGGTAACTCCCCAGTGCCAAGTATTGTTCAGTGTTTGGCAAGAAAGGATGGGACAGATGACTTTTATCAGCTCAAGGTAAGCAAACTGCGGGGCTCCCAGATCTCCAGAGCAGGTGCGGGAACGTCCCCTCAGCCAGGCCCAGAACTGGTGTTGGGATCAGCCCTGAGACAAGGCCTCTGTGGCAGCTCTCCTGGAGAACCTCTGATCTCCTTGGTTGTGCCTGGAAGGCAGGTGGCTCCAGAGGGGATAAATCCCCTGGGATGTTTGTACAAAGCCACCTGAGCTGCTTGTTGGTGCTCATCAGGCTGGTGCTGTGTCCTGCACTGCTGCTGGTACAGCCTTAGCACATGTGCAAACATTAGCACAGTTGCATCAGTGTTAAACACAAGTGAATACCAGAAATGGGAGAGGTTTGGGGGCATTTGGCTTTCTCTGGGAGCTGTAAAGGTCTTTTCCCTTTTCCTGAAGATTCTTACCTTAGAAGAAAGGGGTGATAAAGGAATAGAAACCCAGGAGGAACGACAGGGCAAGATGCTGCTGCACACAGAGTATTCTCTCCTTTCCCTGCTTCACAACCAGGAAGGAGTGGTTCATCATCATGGGCTCTTCCAGGTACTGCTGGTCACCATCCAGGCTGGGGGAATGCCAGGAATTGCCCTTGGCTTGATCTGCTTCTGTTTCATGTACAGTTTGTGCTGACCCTGTTCTGGTGTGTAAGGGATTACCAGGGCACTGAGGTTAACCATTGCTGCTTCAAACCAGCAAGTGTGTGGCAGGGGCTCTGCAGAGTTATGTGGGATGTGATGGGGTCTGGGATTTGGGAAATGTGGGAATGTTCAAAGGCAGGACAGGGCTCAGTGTCATCTTTGTCAAGTGGCTCATTTATTTTCCTCCCTGCAGGACCGAGCTTGTGAAATTATAGAAGATCTGGAAGCCAACAGAATGGTCAGAAAAATGAAGAAACGCATTTGTCTTGTGCTGGACTGTCTCTGTGCTCATGATTTCAGTGACAAAACAGCAGATCTGATCAATCTGCAGCATTATGTCATTAAAGAGAAGAGACTGAGCGAGCGGGAGACAGTGGTGATATTTTATGACGTGGTACGAGTGGTAGAAGCATTACACAAGGTACGCCCGGGGGCTTCGCTCCCCTCAGCCTGGTGCATCTTGTAGAACCTCTTGTGCAGGCAGTGTGGAGGTCACAGGGAATGGATATTCCAGCTGTTTCCCCATCACTGTTTTGTATGAGACTGTTGTGCCCTAGGCCATCCAAGAGTGTTCCCCTCCCCTCAAGGTTCTGGATGATGGTGGTTTGGCTGTGGGGAGAGGCCAGCTGGGCTAGACAGGGATCAGGTGAAGGCAGGTTCCTGGCTCAGAGGGCCAGGAAGAGGAGAGCAGGGGCTGATCAGATGCAGGAAACACTTCAAGCTGTTTCCCTTTGAGGCACAATCACAACATAAGAATCAATTTCTGAGATCAGAACCTCAAGTTACAAGTTTGAGGTAAATGAGCTAGAAATTATTGTAGCAAAAATAGAATCTGCTGATGTTTGGCTGCTTGCCCTGTGCCAAGGGACACCCATCCTTCCATGGCAGGGCAGGGAGCATTGACCTTTTGGGGGAATTCTCATCAATTGGTCTTGCTGAGCCTGGACACTTAGTTCCAGGCATCTTAGTTACAGTCAGGTCTGTCTTTGTGTTCAAAGGAGGAAATTTTCTTGTTCTGTCCTTCTGGCCAGAATAAAAAACAGAGCACCCAGGGTGCAACCTGACTGGAAACCTCCATCGAGGTTATTTCTGAGAATGAAGATGACATGATTTCAAAAGATGCTTAGTGTTTTTGTCACAAATATCCAATTTATACTTCTGTAACAACTACACTTTTGCTCACTTTATACTGCCTTATATTTTACAGAAAAATATTGTGCACAGAGACTTGAAACTAGGAAACATGGTGCTAAACAAAAGGTAAGTGTGCTGGAGAAGTGCTGTTCTGGCAGTTGTCTCATGTTTCTTCCCTGATGCAGATTTCTGTTAGAACCACAATCCCAGGCAGCACTTGTTGAGAGTGCTCTGGTGTGAGAAAGGGGAGGGATGTGGAAGCAGGCTGTGCAAAAATGCAAATCCAGTTCAAAGTTCTGTGAATTAATCTCCCAAAACTGAACTGAGCCCAACCTGGATAGGTTACCCTTCCACCAAGCTCAGTGACCCCATGTCAGCACTTCTTTTTGAATTCTAACTTCTGAAAATTGAATTCTGTAGTAATTCAGAAACCTGCAAGATAAATGCTTATTTTATATATGTTTTAAAAAATAAAATGGAAATGTGGGAAGTGGTTCTGTTCACACACTTCACTTCCCATCATGCTAGAGGAATTCCCAGTACTGCAGTCTGTGCTGTAATCATAGCAGTGTTAAATCTCCAACAGTTGCTCTGCTGTGTTTTCTTTAGCAGTGAAATATTTACTTACCTAAACAAAAGTTCTTCTGTCTAGTCTACATTTGTGCTGGAAATAGCCTCCCTGTTGCCATTAGCTGCTTTGGTGCAGCCCCTGTTCCTCAGGCCCTCAGGGAGGGAGCAGAGCCAACCCCCCCAGTGGGGCCTGAGCTCAGGTTGGGCCAGAGGCAGCTGGGGTGGTGTGTGCTGGGCTTGGTGGCTCCTTGGAGCTTTTTGTTGTCCTGGGTTAAGTAGTGGCTTAGTTGGCAAGCTAGTTCCAGCTCAGACACTCTGCTGTGTCCTTCAGTGTTACATTACTGGCTAAATATTTTATGTGAGCTCTAAGAATGAGTGGAATTCCTTGTCTTTTCACACTGTCTGCTTTTCTGTGGAATGAATAAAAAGCTGGAAGGCTTTAGGTCTGCAGGCTTTCAAAGTCTGTATGGAGCTTGCAGGTTCCCTGTGGTCTCACTTTGCTTTTTTCTCCTCCCTCACACTGTTTGAAAGCAGACAGATTTTACCTACTGAGGTTGAACTTCTTGGTTCACCCACACACACACCAGCAGCCAGCATGTTTCAGGGCCACCTGTAAACTGTTCTAAGTCATTTCTATGGACCTGCTTTCAGATGCTTTGAGCTCTTCTGCTGGCTTCTTTGATTCTCCTTCTTGCAAGGAAGAGGCAGACAAAGGTTGCTGCTTTAAAGGATCCTTTAAAGGATCCACCCAGAGCTTCCCTTCTGCTCTGGACAGTGTGCAGAGAGCATCCCACTGCACACAGGGGCCCCCACTAGCAGGAAGGGGGGAGGTATTGGAAGCTTGATGAACACACTTGCCAGAGTCATTCCTTGTATTACATGCTGTGTTTTTGCTTTTTGCTAGCAAGACCATGGGCTTTGAGGAAAAACTGTAGCCTCTACAGCAGTGAGTCATCTGAAAGGGTGGGTGATGCATAAGAATAGATCTCCATGGAGAGGAGCAGTCACTGGGGCTGATCAAAAATGCTTGTTCTGTTCCAGCCGTGCCCACAGAAGAGCCAGGTCTTGGCTGCTGGCAGGGCAGGGAAGGTGTCTGTGTCCCTGCACAGTCCTGGTCCAACCTGTCACCCCCTGGGCTCATGAAAGTCCCTCATTGTCCCCTGCAAGATGAGGATGTTAAAAGCCTCACAGGTTTCCAGTTAACCAGTGTGGTAGTTGGATGATTACAGATTAGATCAGATTTCAGTGACTAAATAAAACCAGGCAACCCTGATCATTTGAGTGTCCTTTACAACACTTAGTATTTTAAATCCTTAACAAATCCTGCAGATTGTTATTCAGCCAGGGAAGTCTCTTGACAGTTGAAGCTAACACTTATTAAGCACCAGTCTGTCTTTCTTAATAATCAGCTCTCCTTTGCCAGCCCACACTTGGTTTTATTTCATTTGTTTGTTAGACTCGCTGGAAATGTTTCTCGGTTATTGTGACTGCCTTGATTCATTCTCTCAGGCTCTACTTGTGTAATGCTTTTCAAGAGTATAGAAATCAAGACAGTGTTTTTCTACTCAGTCCTTTTAAGTTGTATGCTAAAATCCAAATTACCTGACATGACATGGAAGATTTAATGTGAGACTAGTTTTGTAACGAGCTCACTTTCCCTGGCAAAATTCATTACTTGAAGCTGGCAATACCATAGAGAAGTAGGGGTATCTCACTAGAGAAACTGTGGGAACTGCAGGTCTGTGCTTTTTCTGTAGGAGCTTTTTTTGGCTGTTAGTTGAACTTTCTCAGTTCTGCAAGTTTGTGTGTGAAGAACAGTCTTGCAGATCAGGTAAAGATGCCTTCTGACTCTCTCCAGGACTCATCGAATAACCATAACCAACTTCTGTCTTGGGAAGCACCTGGTGAGTGAGGATGACCTGCTGAAGGACCAGCGTGGGAGCCCGGCCTACATCAGCCCCGACGTGCTCAGTGGTAGGACCCTCCCCCCTCACTCAGCCCCTGCTGCTTTATTTGTGCCTCCTCACAAGAGAGGAAAGGCACCTAGTTCTGTCCCTGCATGTAACCTGCCTTCTGTGACAGCCTCATAATTAGGGTCCAATGATGAGACTGTTTTCCAAGTGGGGAAGTATGGAGGGAAGGAGCCAGGGTAACTTTCTTCTTAAGGCTAATCTGAGCTTCAAAGCTAATTAAAAACCCCCTGCCTGTCCCTAAATAAGTCCAACTGCAGACAGGATGTTCCGTTTCTCACATCTGAATCTTGTTCCTGAGGCTTCACTTCAGCTGTGGGTAAATCCTTGGGCTGAAGAGGCAATCGGCCCAAATCCCACCGTAATGCCAGTTTATTCCAGTTCATACACTAAGAGGAGCAGTTGTTGCAGCTGCTGCTTCCAGAAGGGAACTACTGACCCTTTGGGCAGCTTCTGGGCCAGCTGAGGGAGTTACTTAAAAATAAAGGAATGATGACACCAGGCCAGACCAGCAGTCTGTTTGGGCTGTATCTTGTCTCCAGCAGAGGTCTTAAGCAGAAGTCTGGCAAAGAGCAGCCTTCCTTTTTCCTTCTGCCTTTTAACTGTTCCAGTGCATGGGACCTTCAGAAGCAGATGTGGTTTCTGTCTGTTGAGCTGCTTCAGGAGGTTTGTCTTCATGAGCTCCAAGTTCTGCTGCTTTTGTGCTGGCAATAGCTGAGCAGCAGGTTGTCCTGTGACTGAGGCATCATTTTGGGGTGTTCTTAATTCTCGTCTGGGTGATCTGGACTGGTGTTGAAGGGTGGGTGCATTTACAGCTGGGACTGGGCATCTGAACCATCTCTCTGCAGACTCCAGTGCATTAGCTCATGTTGGGGAGCATTCCTGATAAGCACAGATAAAATTCCCATTGGATGGAGCTGAACATGGCAGTCCAAGCTCACCCCTGGTGCATTCCACTGCTGAAGTTATCCATCTACAGGGCCAAGCTAGCATTAGGACAATGGGAAACCCTAAAGCCATGGGGATCAGCAGTGACTTCTCTGGACATTTCCAGACCCCATGGACCCCCCTCAGCCTCCTGCCAGGTCCATGAGCAGCAGCCGTAGCTGAGCGCTCCCAACGGGATCCCCAGCAGGTTGGATCCTGCTTCCCTCTGGGCAGGACTGAGCCAGGAAGGCAGCAGAGGCAGGCAGGGAGGTGGGACGTGTGCTTTTTGCAGGCCTTTCCTGTTCTGCAGGATATCCTGAGGCCCCTGGAACCAGATGGATTATATGAGCCAACTGCTCTGCAGGAGCTTGGAGCAGTTGTGGCCCAAGTGGCTGGTCAAGGTGGTGTGGAGCTGCTCCTTCCTGCTCGTCCAGGGTGCTGGTCTGCCCTGGACTGCAGCCTGTGCTCCTGAAAATGCTGTTCCAAAATGTCTTGGTCTGCAGCTGCCCTCTGAGCATTGAGGGAAAAGTTACTTGAGGACATCCCAGGCTTCACCACCACCCCCAGACTCCGAGCATCCCTCTGTCTGTATTGCTAATTCTCCTCTGCGAGAGGAAGCTACAATGCCTGAAGAATTAATCATTGTTTTAGGTGTCCAGGAGAAGCTGTCTTCTGCTAAGAGATGGCCTGTGTTTTGTGGCTGCTGAAATGTCACTGCAGGAAAAGCTGGAGGAGGAGGGAGAGGTGTCTTTTTTTGAGCATATAAAGCAAAGAATAATTAGTACAAATAACAAATGCTGCAGCAGTGACTCACTGGGTGAGTCAGAGGAAGTCATTCCCTCAGTCCTATGCTGTGGTACAGCTCTGGAGTTTAATTTTTGACCCTCCTGGATGTTCCTGGTCGTTGACTTATTGTGTGATTGAAGAGGCTGTGAAGCCACATTCCCATCAAGCGGATCCCAGGGCCTGCTGAGGCTGCAGTGGCCTTTGGGAATGCCTGGCTGGTGAGGCTGGCCTTGATCTCGGGCCTCTCTTTTCCCGAGGAGCACTTGCTCTTCTCAGGCTTTCTTCCCTGCCTCCCTGTGCTCACTGGCCCTTTTTCATTCTCTTCTCCTTTGACCTGACTCGCAGGGTCTGTGGAGCCCTCGAGGCTCAGGGACATGGGTAGATGGATTATATGAGCCAACTGCTCTGCAGGAGGTTGGAGCAGTTGTGGCCCAAGTGGCTGGTCAAGGTGGTGTGGAGCTGCTCCTTCCTGCTCGTCCAGGGTGCTGGTCTGCCCTGGACTGCAGCCTGTGCTCCTGAAAATGCTGTTCCAAAATGTCTTGGTCTGCAGCTGCCCTCTGAGCATTGAGGGAAAAGTTACTTGAGGACATCCCAGGCTTCACCACCACCCCCAGACTCCGAGCATCCCTCTGTCTGTATTGCTAATTCTCCTCTGCGAGAGGAAGCTACAATGCCTGAAGAATTAATCATTGTTTTAGGTGTCCAGGAGAAGCTGTCTTCTGCTAAGAGATGGCCTGTGTTTTGTGGCTGCTGAAATGTCACTGCAGGAAAAGCTGGAGGAGGAGGGAGAGGTGTCTTTTTTTGAGCATATAAAGCAAAGAATAATTAGTACAAATAACAAATGCTGCAGCAGTGACTCACTGGGTGAGTCAGAGGAAGTCATTCCCTCAGTCCTATGCTGTGGTACAGCTCTGGAGTTTAATTTTTGACCCTCCTGGATGTTCCTGGTCGTTGACTTATTGTGTGATTGAAGAGGCTGTGAAGCCACATTCCCATCAAGCGGATCCCAGGGCCTGCTGAGGCTGCAGTGGCCTTTGGGAATGCCTGGCTGGTGAGGCTGGCCTTGATCTCGGGCCTCTCTTTTCCCGAGGAGCACTTGCTCTTCTCAGGCTTTCTTCCCTGCCTCCCTGTGCTCACTGGCCCTTTTTCATTCTCTTCTCCTTTGACCTGACTCGCAGGGTCTGTGGAGCCCTCTAGGCTCAGGGACATGGGTGGTGCCTGTGCAGGGAGGGCAGCAGGTCTTCTGGTCCTTGGATGCTCTTGGATCACATCAAGGCCATTCAGTAGGGGTATCTCTGTGCTGTAGGGAAGGACACCTGTGGGGAGATGAACAATTGGCTTATTCACAAAGGATGCACCTTTGGAAGAGGTGGTTAGTGTCTTGCCATGGGGAGCCCTGAATGTTTTGGCTGATGCTCAAGAGAAAGGTCAGATGCAGATGTCGCCCCAGTGCCATCACTGCTGTGGCTGCAGAGGTGAGCAGTGCTGTGAAGCCTGTTGTTTGGTGTCTCCTGCAGGACGGCCCTACCGTGGAAAGCCCAGTGACATGTGGGCACTGGGGGTGGTTCTCTTCACCATGCTCTACGGCCAGTTCCCCTTCTACGACAGCATCCCTCAGGAGCTCTTCCGCAAGATCAAGGCAGCCGAGTACACCATCCCTGAGTGAGTACAGCCTGTCCTGGGAGCCCCCTCCCAGTGCTGTGTGGGCAGTGCTCTGGGCCTTACTGGGACAGCTGGAGTTGGGGGGCTTCACTCCAAACCCCTGAGGGTCGTGGCAGTGAGAGCAAAGAGCCTGTGCTGGAGGCACCAAGGGAGCCACAGCAGAGTTTGGACATCTTGTGCAAAGGTGTGAGAGGCTGCAGGGGCAGAGAACCAACCTCCTGGTCAGTTCTGGGGGCTCCTCTCATTCCTGACCTGTGCTCCCAGCATGTCCATCCTGCTGCTGCCTCTGCCCCTGGGCACAGGGTCAGCACAGCCTCTCTCCCCAGGGATGGCCGGGTCTCAGAGAACACCGTGTGCTTGATCCGGAAGCTGCTGGTCCTGGACCCGCAGCAGCGCCTGACGGCTTCTGAGGTGCTGGATTCCCTCAGCTCCATCATAGCATCGTGGTACGTGCAAGAGCAGGGAGACAGGAACGTGGTGTCTCTGTTATCCCGGCGGTGGCCAGCAGGCTGCTGCCAAGCAGGACCAGAGGAGGGCTTGTGAGAACGGCAGGGAAGTCCTTCAATCCCGTGTGTCACCCACTGCTGTCTGCTGGTGGATACAGCTGGGGTGGCCTGTACAAATGCTGCTTGTTGTCACCAAGGTTGGGGTCTGTAAAGCCATAACCCTGCAAAGCAGTCCTGGGGACAGCAGGGCCTTTGCTGCTGGGCCCCCCTTGTGCTCCCCAGATTTGATTCTTGAAGAAAGTCTCATGGTCAGGAAAGCCTTCCATGCACAAACAGATGCAGCCAAATGCTCAGAGTTCTGCAAGCTCATCCTTAGCACTGCCTTGTCTGAAATAAATGCAGGCGTGAGAGCTCTGGATGGCAAGAGCAGGAGATGCTGAGCAGCTGCAGGGTGGGGATTCCTTTGGAGGGTCAAGCTGACTCCAGGACCAGCGTGAACCAACTGGGATGAGGTTCCAGTAGCACACTCCAGCAGAAGTGGATCCTGGTGGTGTTTGCTGGGTGCAGCCCTCTCGTGTCAGCCCTGTGACCCATTGTGCTGCACAGTGTGCCCAGGCAAAGGTCCTGTGCTACTGCTGAGTCAGCAGGGAAGGCTGTGATTTTTGGAGTTGTGGCTGTTTTCTCTCCTACCTATGGAAGAGTTAGAGTTCCACATCCTGTAAAAAAAATTAAAAGAAGCACCTCGGGATTATAACATGAGTTCATACTAGAGAAGTTGTATTTTTAATAGTATCTTTGAGTGGTAGTAGCTGGTGTGGCACCCAGACAGGGCTGTGCCATGCTTGGGTGGCCAGCCAGGCAGGATGGCCCTGGCCAGGGTGGTGGGTGAGCTGAGGCTGTGCTCCCTGTCCCCAACACTCTGCTCTCCCTCTAGGCAGTCCATGTCCTCACTGAGTGGCCCTTTGCAAGTGGTGCCAGACATTGATGACCAGGTGGCCAACCCTGAAAATCCCCAAGAGGTAGGTCTGCCAGCTTTCCTTCCTGTGCTTTTCCATCCTGCTGTGCCCAGTCTGTGGCCCCCGAGCTGCAGGGCTTTGGGGCTGGGGACCCAGCTGTGTCCATCCAGTGGGAGGGAAGGATCCTGCTGCTGGGACTGGAGTCGCATCCGGCTGGGCTGGGAGGAGCTCGCCTGCCCCTCTGGGTCCCGCCCCCGCAGCAGCCGGGAACTCGTGTGCTGGGAGAGCTGGGGGGGAGGCTCAGGCTCCCGGTGAGCTTTGCCATGGGAGCAAACATCCTGTTTTCTTGACAGTTTGTTTTGTGTTGGAAGTGGTGGCTGGTGACCTCACTGCCTGGGGACAGCCTTGGAGGAACCTTTGCCTGTGAAGCCACGGCCAGTGTTGCCGTCAGAAATCCCTCCCCTGGGCTCGGGGGGGGGGAGGGGGGGTCAGACAGCTGCAGCCTTGGAATATCTGAGAGGGCTGGGATGAGCTGCATCAGGATGGAGCTGCTGAGGTTTCCAGCCCCATGTTCCTGGTGGCACTAGTGGCTTGTGGACTGTCCTGCCTGTACACCAGGCAGCAGATCCAGTTCTTGTGTTCTCTAGTTGTCCCATGGCAGCTCAGAACCATCAGAGGGAGCTGTGGGATGTTTCTGGTTGCTGTGGCCCTGATGGTTGGTTCTGCAGGTGAAGGTGACAGAGGAGTGCTCGCAGTACGAGTTTGAGAACTACATGAGGCAGCAGCTGCTCCTGGCTGAGGAAAAGAACACCTTGCATGAGGCCAAGAGCTTCCTGCAGAAGCGGCAGTTTGGGAACATCCCCCCCGTGCGGCGCCTGGGCCACGACGCGCAGCCCATGAACCCGCTGGACGCGGCGATCCTGGCCCAGAGGTACCTTCGGAAGTAGCTTCACACACACCCAAGAGCACAAGCACCACCCTGCAGTCTGCCTTTCACGTCGCCTACTACAGTCAACAGCAATACCTGTGTCCTGTGATGGAGAATAATGTAGCAAATCTTCTGAGCTCTGTTCAGGGACACGCACTCACACTCGCTCTGGAGGGAGAAGACTTTGGGAAAAGCTAGTTTTGGAAGCAGCAACCTCTTGGCATCTTCTGGAATCTGTTTTTTAAAATCGAAGCCTAGATGACTAATCTGCTTTTAATCATGACTGTAATCTACCTCTCTTGTCTTTTTAACCATGCTGTTCTCTGGATCGAGCAAAGCCTGTGGGAAAGGAGAAGACTGCCCAGGGTGAGCTGGTTTGCTGGCACGAGAGTCGCGCCGAGCAGCGCGGGCGTCGGCCGATGCGTTTGCTCCACGTGGTTTGAATAAGCTGAGATTTATCGGGGTTTCTCAGAAGGAGGAATTTCTCGAAACCTCCCACTTCCCTTCATCTGCATCACGTCTCTTTCTGTCCTTCACGTGCCACCTGGTGTGACCCCTGGTGGCCCCGTGTGGGCTGCAGCGCGTGGGGGCGGGAAGAGCCGCCCAGTGGGGCCGGGGCCGCCTGGAGAGCCCCGTGGGAACCCTCCCTGCAAAGCTTGGATCTTGTCTCAGTTCACAGGCTTTGCAGGACTTGGCCCGGCGTGGCCTCTGACCTCTTTTCCCACCTGTCACTGAGTATTTTAGTTTCATAAGAATATATGATTTAATCTTATTTTTCAAGTAGCTTATCTAAGGTGCAGTTAAAATTGCATTAATTCTGATTTAGCATTTTCACACTTCGGTTGTGGTACAGATATAATATATGAGTTATAATGTGAAAAGGCTTCCCAAAATAATCTGCCTAGAATTAGGAAGGGGCTGGCTGAAGTCTCTACTGTATATGTTCCCCAGCTTATCCTGCCATCCCTGCCTTGCCTCGCAGAGCTGGGGCAGGGAAGGGCATCCTGGTTTGTCACCGAGCGGTTGCCTGTGCTGAGAACAGGAACGATTGTTTCTGAGCCTCACTTTGTGAACTGGATGCCTGTCTTGCCAGATGAACTGTTCTCACACAGAGGTCCAGGGCTCCTGCTCTCCAGCTGCCTCCATTCCCTGCTCCTGCTGCCCTCGGGCTGGGCACACGGAGCTGTGTGAGCAGGGATGGGAAAAGCTGCGGTGGCCGTGGCTGTGGGGGCTGCCCTGCGTGGGCAGGGGGCAGATCTGTTTGTAGCGTGTTGCCTTCTCTTGCCTGGGCTGGGGAAGGGGACTGGTTCTAGCCTGGGCCAACCTCTAGGTGTCTTTGTGGGGACATAGGGATTGACCTGAAACTCCTTGGCAGCATCGGGCATTATCTCCTGCCTGCGAACTCGCCGGAGCCGCGTGGGCAGGGACTCGTGAACACTAACACAGACTAGAACAGTTGCACCAACCCCAGCCAGCTGAGCCAGTAGCCTCAAGTCTTCGCCTTATTTATTGTAACGATGGTAGGTCTGTCCCAGCACCCCCAGCGTGCACCCCCCAGCCCCCTGTGCCACCAGCAGCAAAGCAGGGACCCCAGGGGCCTGGGCCCCAAGCCCCTGGGGCCTTGCTCTCTCTATCTGGTTTTCTTTTGTCTTGCTCCTACTTCTTTATTTTTTCCTCCCCCCAAAGTTAAAGCAATATTCTGGGGACTCTGCAAGGCTGTATCATGCCCAGTATTCCTGCCTGCTGCTCATCACCAGTAAATCACTTGTATCAAAGCAAACTGGAAGAGGGGGTGGTGTGGGGAGGGCTGGAGCCGGGGGTGCAGGGGGAGGGGTGGTGCTGTGGGAAGGAGCTGGGTGTAAGGAAACAAGAGAAAAGAAAAAAAG